CTGTCAGAGGAAGGGTGGGAGGAGGGAGGAGGGAGGGAGGATGGAACGTCGTCATGGCAACTGGCTCCCCAGCAGCATTGGCTGCCAGGAGGGAGGGGAGGGGAGGGGGAGGGACAGACAGGGACGAGCAGACCCTTGGGGTGGGGGGCACAGGGACCGTCATGCCAGTCCCGGACACCACTGTGACATGCCAGCAGCATGGACACGTGTGCTCCACGCCAAGATGCAGATGTCAGGCGGGCATACGCAGCCCGCACATGGCTGACACAAGTCGCAGAGACCCTCTCAGACAGGCACATCACATACAAAGGTGGACAGCCATCGGCAGACGGGGACACGTACACGTCACACACAAAGACGCAGGGACGAGGGGCTGCTCTGGGAACACGAGCAGGCCGGCCCCCAGCACAGCTGCACCCGGCCACGCGGAATGGCAGAGCTCCACAAAGACCCACACATGCCACAGACGAAGTAAAGCCGGAACACACAGATGCGCATGCCACAGACAAAGATCCACGCGGAAGCCACGGTCACACACGAGACATTCTCACAGACACACACAATCCACAGGCAAATGGGCAACAAAGAACACCCACAGGCACAGCATCACATCCACAGATGCACACAGACACGCACCTTACGCAAATACACACAGGTGTCACTTTCACAGACATTCAAACACATGACACACACCAACATAGACACGTTTCACATGCACAGATATGCAGCCACACAGCAGATACATGGAGGGACACGCATATAACATACGTGAATACACAGGCACACAACATAAACACAGGTACGTGAAGACATACATGTCACAGACCCACATTTCACTCTTGAACACACACATCGCATGCACAGAAACCCAAGGACAGACACAACTCAGGCATGGTTATAGACACACACGACACACTGGAAGAGTCACAGACATACAAAGCTACACAAATCACGTACAAAAATGCACAAATACATCACACACTGATGCAGACCACGTAGAATACATACAGAAACACGCAGGCACACAGCACAGGCGCACACATGGAACACAGAGACGCCCGGGGATGGACACTTCAGAAACACACGTTTCACAGAAGGCTACGGGAGATGCATTACCCCACCGCAGCCACACATCACACACGGGCACACGCAACACACACCAAGATGCGAAACACGTACGAAGATACACACAGACATACGCATCACAAATGCCCACCTTGCCTATGAGGTTACGCAGCCAACACAGCATGGACACTTGCCTCACACAAAAGATACATGATCATATTTTTTTAAAATATATTTATTCTTTTGAGCGTTTACTCTGCGCCAGGCATTGTTTCTGCGCTTTACACGTATTACCTTTTAATCCTCACAGCAGCACCCCCATCGTGCGGATGAGGAAACTGAGGCACAGCGAGGGACAGTCACGCTCCCCAAGGCGCACAGTCAGGAAGTGGCAGAGTGCGGACTGGAACTCGGTGCGTCAGGGACACAGACAAAACAGACAAGCACGCACACATCGAGCGCCAGGCCGCCGCCGCTGGGGGCCCCGCCGCCCCGCACAGCACCCCGAGCTGCAGGCGTACCGCAGGCGCGGACCCCCACC